GTGGGCTGGGGTCGAGCAGGCAGCAACGGCCCAGCCCCCGCCACGCTCAGGCCAAGCGCTGCTCCGCTGCAGCTTTGCTTTCTAATTGTTTTCGCAGTTCCCAAGAATAGGCTCTGCCTCAGTCGAAAGCGTCCGTCGCGTGTGATGACCGCGACCAGCGAGCAGATGAGATGTTGTCCAATGGATCTAGATTAGCTCTGCTCCGGTTACTGCTCCTCACCGTGCCGGTGAAGGTCAGCACCTGCCGTGATTTACCAGGGCAGGTTTTTTGGAAGTTGCGATCCCAGAAGAGATGCAGGCTTGAACAATTCCACATTCAAAAGGACTTTCTTCCTGGAACAAGAGCAACTACCTTTCTCTTCTATATATATATTTTTTAAATCCAAAAAGACCTCTCCAGGCACAAAATTTTTGTATCAAAGTGTCCTATTTCCTTACTTGAAGTAGAAGAAATTGAGTGTCCACAAGGGAATAGAAAAGTTCCAAGGACAGCCAAGAGACTGATAAAAAGCCAGCGCTTTCAGCAAATGCATTAAAATGGGACACAAGAGGAGACTCTTAAAATAACAGATAATAGGATGAAGCAAGATTTAATTGCTCTTATTCTTTGCTTGCATCTTTTAAATACTGAAATACCACTTTTTGTTTCATGCTTTACTCTGTAGCACTATTTTTTTACATTAAACCTGCAAGCCATAGTTTCTGCCTGCCTGTGGTACCTGGTTTTCCTCAGACCCTGTTGCCAGAGTGGCATCCCAGAGTCAAGATGAAAAAAACCCAGGCATATTCTCATCCCTTCTGATTAATGTTATCTTTGTGAAGGGATTGAGTCTGCCTTCCCCACCAGGGCCAGCAATAACCAGGGAGCTGGAAGGGGAAAATACCACTCTATTTATACACATACTAGAACCTCTGTCACACTGGCACAGGAGTGCTCATCAGGCACTTTAACCTCCTGAGAGCTCTCACCCTGGATGGCATTTTTCTTTTTAACTCCCTAGTAGAACCTGCTCATCTTACCAGCAAGCAATGCCGCTCCAACGACCAGCCCATGCCAAAACCAATACTCCAACAGGGGAGAGAAACTCAACCGCGTTTACTCGCCCCTCACTGCTCAGGATCCAGCTGGTCCAGAACCAGAAAAGGTCTCAGGTCAGATTCCCTTATCCGAACTCTGAAGAAAGTAAAACAGCCTAAGAAAAAACAAATTTTACAGAGACTTCTTACTTTCTGGATCATCTGCTAGCAGAACGCACAAAATAAAAAATGCCAAGAGGTAGAATTGTGACTATTCAAATTTAATAGTGTATGCGATATATGGGACATTTTTCAGTATACAAAAGTAACACCACAGGTAGTAGCAAGGCTGGCAGACACTACAAACACCAGCGGCGTTTCCCTGCTCTGCGGTGGGGCAGGTCCAACTCCGGAGTGGTCTGTGGCCCGTTCACAGCACATGCTGCAGAGTAGGAGCTCCAGAGGAAGGCCACTCCTCTGTCCCAAAGGGCACATGTCTTCAAAGATAATTCATGCCTTCTGTAGGACTTTAAACTCTGAGCTAACAGAGCGTTTTCTCGATGTTCAAAGGCACTTGCTCGTTCACAAATCCACAAGAAGCAAGGCTGAAAGCAACGCATGGTGGCAGAAAGTACATTGCAGCGCCCAAGCACAGGCTTAGTCAGGCACTCCCAAGGAACATCCTTTACACCCCAGCAAAAAAAGGGAAGCCCTTTGTGCTTCTGAGAAATCATTCTGAATCTGGACTGATGTGATGATCCTGCACACCCTGATACAGCTCTAAAACATGATCTTCCCCATTCTTCTTAAAGTGGCATCACAAGGCTGAAGGTTTCAAATTAAGTTAGTGCACAACTGGGGAGTAATTTGCTCAGATCCTGCCAGTGTGCACAAGACCCGAGTGCTGCAAGGTCAACCAACGGTCAGATGCAGCTCTAGCCCTAAAAATAACCAGCCTCACTCTTTGCCTCTGTACAGGGCTGAGCACAGCTCAGTGCTACTAGCAACAAGCTGCCTTATTTCTCCTATCTTCCCCCTGCTGCCCCCTCACTGTTGCCAGGAGAGACATGGGGGGGGGGGGGGGGCTGGATCTAGCTACGGGCTATGATTTAAAAACAACATGACTGTTCCTGAAATTCATTTGACACTTCTGCCATAACCTCCTGACATGGCAAAATCAGGACAAACTGCCAGAAACCCCCATGACTGCCTGAACTGAGGCAGCTCAGTCCAGTCCTGCAAACTCACCGAGAAACTCCTCATTTCCCATAAATTACTCAGCTAACAAGTCCGAGGCAGAGACACATAGCTGGCTTTCACTACAGTACTGCCAGGTGTAATCATTTCTACACAGGCTTTTCTTTTATACTGCTAGATTGGGTGAACTTCACCCTTCTTCAAAGAAATTCTAAACCTTCCCCTGTGAAAGGGCAGTGTAAGCACAAAGACGCACACTATACTTTTCCAAAAAACCAGCAAGAATGCCGTAGTTTCCCTCAAACACCATCCCAGTGTACTTCACGGGGAAGTTTTCCCACATGATTAAGTGACACCTCCACATCCCATCTTGTTTGAGAGCACTGCTCTGAGGCTTGCTCGGGCCCCTTCCTCCTCTGCGTTGCAGTCTCTCCTGAAAGAGGAGCACAGATCTGCCTTGCCCAGATTTGTCAGGACCTGCCAAAAGACCAGAGAGGCCGAGCCCTGGAGAAGGCAGCTCTCTGGCGAGGTGGCAGGGCTGGGGCTGCACAGGACCCCCTCTCCATCCTGTGCCTGCCTGCCAGGAGAGGGAGGGGATCCGGGATACAAACAGGCCTTTGGGACATGGAAACAGGAAACAACAGGAAGCAGGGACTTTCCATGACAGCAGCACATCCTGGCAGCACACAGCAAGTCTGGGTTCTTCCCAAAGGAACTCGCCCAGTTCTGCACTTGTTTTACTATGTGTTGCCATGCTGCACGTGATGCCTGGTAAAAGGAACATGAGCACTCATGAGATCCGGTGCAAAGTCTGCAGTCCCCAAAACTCCCCTGAGCCCTTAGAAAACGTTCCCCTGGAGAGGATCATAGCCCAAGCACAGGGAGCCAGACTGGACACGTGCAGTCCCTCCCTGTACAGCATTTCTGTGTTGGGCTAGTTGCAGTGTAGACACTCAGACCAAATAAGAGGAGACCCGGCTCCTTCAGGGAGCTTGAATTTACCCAATTGCCTCCATCTCCATTCTCATCTGTTTCCTCCTCTCCTTGTTGATGGGGTGGATGGAGAAGATGATTATGGCAACGAGCAGCAGACTTATTGGGACTGGGGCTATGAGCAGCTGTAGGGCAAGGATGACAGAGGGGTTGTGCATGCAGTCTCCAGCCTGGTAACCTGCAAAACTGAAGAGGAGCACAGTTGAAAGCACTGCTGTCAGCCCAGAGATCCCCAGTGGGGAACACTGAAAGGCTTCAAATCATGGAGAATGGTCAAATTTTCCCCAGTCCCACTGTGCCACTGCAAAAAGGCAAGCGGGCACCTCTGTCGCTCTCCTCTAGAGGCTGGAACCAGAGGCCCAACTTTGGAGAACTCCCATTCCCTCCTGTTCCTCTTGCTCCCAGTAGAAGTTGGAAAGACAAAGAAGTTGGATACTGCTGCAACCCATTACAGCATCTCTCATCAGACAACCCAGAAAGGAGCAGCAGAAAAAAATCCATGCTGGGCTGGCAAAACAGGGAGGGTAGCGTTTGGGGCTTACTGTAAACTCAGTGTCGATATCCCCACAGCAAGACCACCTGCAAACTTGTTGAAGAAGACATAAAGTGAGTAGAAGAGAGCCTCCAGGTTCAGGCAGCTGGGGTTCCTCAGCCTGAAATCATCCACTACATCTGGCAGCATGGACCTGGAGACAGACAGCCCCAAAGAAGCATTCATGAAACCCACCCCAGCACTTGCCAAACTCAGCTGCAGCCACTCCCAGCCCCCTTCGACCAGCAGAAAGAGGCAGAAACCCCTTGCAGAACCTCACTCTGGAGACTGTTGAGTGTGTGTCCTTTGCCTTAGGCGATTAGGGCAGAGAATGTCTCACAGACAGGGTGCAGCAGCTACTTTGGGAAAGGCAGGAGAAAAACAATATTTTGCACAGCGTCCCACTGCTGAAGGGAGCCCTGAATGCAGACTGAATGATGCTCCGGGGGGACCATCACTCACCAGGATCACATCCACATCCCTTCCCAGTCCCACCTGCATGTGTCCCTGTGCAGCCCAGTAGCTGTTGCAGTGAAGCCTTGGCCTGGCTTGGTGCTTTCCCAGTAACCTTCCCCTCCTCTCTACCTAACAACTGGCTTGGAGATGCCTCCACTCACCACGGTAACAGGTAGAGTACAGCCATGCTGCAGCCTGCTACAATCATCAGGAAGATGAAGGCCAGGAAGTTGTGCATCACCTGAGTGATCGCTACCAGGGCTGGGATGATGGAGAGCATATGAGCCCTTTCTGCTGCTCGCAGGCATCTTGCACTGGCCTAGTGTACCAAAGGCCGGGTCCCCTCTCCCCACACATTCACAATGGCTAAAGACTTTCAGTTCAAATGTATTGGATGTGCAGGCTCATTCCCAGCCACGGCCAACCGTGGTACCCTGGCCCTTCCTTCCCTCCCCACACCCCACACAGAGCTGGCTGGCAGAACGCAGATCACCTACATTAAGCATGCAAGATCCTGGAGCAGGAAAGAGGCTGCAGGAAGATGTTGTGAGTGCACGTGACATTGGTGCATTAGGACAGCATCTGATCACACACCGCTCACAAGACCCAGCGGCCGTGGAGCCTGAGAGCATAAGCCAGGTTGGGTGATACCGCAGACATCCTCACTCATCCACCATCCCAGGGACAGGCCCTCCCTCAGCCCGCCCACACCTTACTGGAAAGCTCTGCAAAGCCATGGTCACTGATATGAGCAGTGGCCAGGCACGTGGAAATGCAGAGCTGCAATCAGCTACTGGCCTATTTCTGTTCACCTCCAGCATAGAGGACACTATGCTCAGAGCTACCTGTCTCGGCGCTGGCTGGGAGTGAGGAATGAAGCACCCGCATGGCTGGCTATGCTGCTTAGCAGCCAGCCAGCTCTTCTCCCCAGACAGCATGAGTGGCTGGGGGCAAGATAGTCTGCCTGCAGAGCTTCTCAGACCATTGCCCCGACCAAGTGCAGACTCACCACCAGGCCTGAGGACACAGCCGTTTTCTTCCCAAATCTCCCCAAAAACCACTGCCAAAACGGAATAGAGAGGGAAGCTGTGACCTGAGGAGAAAACCAGAGGGGACTCTCAGCAAGGCCTTCCAGGTCTCCACCAGTATCTGCCTGGGCGACATCCCTGCTGACGGGAAGAAGCAGCAGCGCTGACTCCACGAGATCCAAACGTGGCTGAGCTGCCACCATCCTGGAGGGCTGGGGTAACCCAGGGATCTGCCGAGGCAAGCAGGAACAGCAGGGCCAGAAAGTCTCTCTTGGGCTCACTTACCAACATGACAAGCACCAAATGCTGGAACTTCCCGGCCAGACCTGCAGCATGAGTACAAAAGACGGCAAAGATCCCCTGTGCAACCTGGGAAGGGGACACGGAGACATTCATGGCTGGGGTCCTGAGTTCACTGTCTGTCACTGGAGAACCTGCCTGGAGCATCTCATCTCCCAAGCTCTCCTCCTGCTGAGACAGGTCTCGCACCTGGAAGGCCAGGGACGCAAAGAGGAAGCCACACAGCAGCTGGGTGTAGGGCTTGTGTTCCAGGATCGTTCTCAGGCAGCTACTGAAGGGCAGTCCAACCTTCCCCAGGGGGCTGAGGGGCCCTGAGAAAAGAGACAGCAGGGTTGGCACTGGAGCTGCCAGAACAAACACAACGGGGGTGGGAGGTACAGGGGGATAGTGCCATTACGTCTCAGGTGCAACTAAGCTGAGCGAGGGGCTATTTGAATCTGACATCTTAGTGCAGAGACAACAGCCATTTTAACTCTTTGCACTGCACACCCAGGCTGGCTGCTGTAGCAGGCTAAGCCAATTGCTCTGCAGGCTGCGTGTTGGCAAGACCCACTTGGCATAGTGGAGTGGTGAGCTGCAAACCTTGCCCCAGACTTCCATCTCCTAGCAGGAGCTCCCAGACAATCTGGACCCTCCTTTCTCGTGGGTGTCTCTCCAGTCCTCTGCTGGAGCAAGATGCTGCAGCACAAACTGAGGAGGCTGCAAAGCTGACAGCTATTCCCAGAGAGCTAGGAAGGCAGAAGTGTTGGTATCCAAGCAGGTGCTGTGTCTCTGTGCCCCACACTGAGAGTCATCCAACCTGCAGGGGCCTAGCTCCCTCTGCCTCACGCCTCCCCCTACAAGTCCATCCTCACCATCCACTGCCACTGGGTGCCATCCAAACTGCATCAAAGTGGACCTTACCAGGCTGTTCCTTTACTCCAAAGATGAGAATCAGACAGGACAGGCAATAGATTGAGCCTAGGACCAGGGATGAAAATGCATAGGCCCTACGCTGGCAAACAAAACAGAGTGCAAAATCACAATGCAGGTACCAAACACGCAGCTAAGAGCACGGCCAGCAGCGCCTGCCCCACAGCTTTAGGGAGGAGCAGGGAGCAGACGGACCAGCCCTTACCGTGTTCTCTAGCGAGTCCGTGAGGCTGGAGGAGCTCGTGTTGGGCAGGGTCCCATTCAACACATAACAGCTGTTCATCATGCGGGCATGGTAACTGCCCACAATCTGCCCCTGAATTCCTGATCCAAGGAGTGTGCTGAACACCTCCACCCCCATTCCTGCCAGCAGAACCGTGAGAGAGACCTCAGCCCCACTTTCTGGCCACAGAGACACATCCCTCGGGAAGGATAAGAGACCAGCTTTGGGTATGGGATTGGAGGCACCAGCATCCAGAGCTGCCCCAGAAGGAGATGAGATCTGCTATTTCTACCTGCTTTGATTCTTCTCCCCTGGCTCCAGCAGAAAACTCTCTACTGTTTGGAGCCAATAAATCTGGGTTCTGGGTCCCCTAGGGAGCATCCACATTTAAGAAATGCTTCTGCAGGTGAATTATTTGCAGAAGCCACCGCTGGTCTCGTATTCTTGGCTCACCCCCTCTAGCCTCCTCTTTCACTGCAATCAGATATGGACCCCAAGCAGATCTGTTCATGCTCTGTGGAGTGAGACTCGGTGTGTAACTGTAGCCTGATCAAAGCCAGAGGAACTTATTCCCATCTCCTCCAGGAAGGGTCTTGTGGGAATGCAGGTAGCCCTGGGGTTGTAGCGGCACAGTCACTTACTGTAGGCAGTGGCTAAATCACGATCTCTCTGGGTTCCTCCCAGGAACATTGTCAGGGAAGAGTACGGCACATGGTAGCACTGGGGAAAAGCACAGTTCAAATGCACCTCCAGCTGCTGCTTCCCTGCTTTGCCTGTCATGACCCCCTCATTCCCAAATTCAGAAAATAATGTTGCCTTCCATAAGACCCCTGCACACAGGCAGCTTTTTGCCCTCTTCTTCCGTGATTTGCTTTTTTCTCACAAACCAGTGATGGAGAGGTTCTCATCAACACTTACAGGCAGCCCACCCAAATCCCAGCATTAAAACGCACTGCTTCACCTCCCCATCCCCTGATGGGATGGTCTGCGGCAGGGAGAACTCACATCCTGCTCCCTCCTCCCCAGCTAGAGCTCCCCAAGACCCAGCTCCAGGTCCCTTGCTGGAGAGGCTGGGACTGAGACTCCCCAGCTGACCCTGGGTCTCCCCAGCTGACTGCGCTCCTCTTCCTTGGGGGAGACGATGATGTGTATGTAGTACAGTCAGCCCCAGGCACCATGTTCCTTACAGTCATGCAAGTCTGGAAGAAGCTGTACATGAACAGGTACCACAGGAACTTCAGAGAGACGGGGGTGGCATCTGGGACAATGGACCACATCATACAGTAGAAGAGCACCCCAAATGGCATGGAGCATGCAATCCTGGAGAAGAAGCAGACCTGATCAGATACGACCCTCAAATAAGGAGGTCAGGCTTCTCATTGCGGAACCTGAGCTACTCAGCGTGGCTTCTTCCCCCAACCTCCAAACCACAGCTCAGCTACTGCAAGATCAAGGCCTGCAAGAGGAAGCAGATTTGCTCAAGTGAGCACCCATCTGTCAGGCTGGAGGTGGGGGTTACACACAAACGTTGAGACAAAAATGAATGTCTAAATAGTCCACAATTGCTTATTCTCTTGTTTAAATACTTAAAGTCCTAGCCCTGCAGCAGGGCCTTGAGGGCAAGGCCTCTAAGTACAAGATCTGCCTGTGGTTAGAGCCTGGTGGAGAGGTCCTGGCACAGCTGACTGCCAAAGTCTGCACATGCCACGAGGCAGCAATCATGGAGCATCAAACCCCGCAGCCTCAGAAGTGTAAGGACTCAAGGAAACAGCAAGTGTTTGAAATACTCTCCTTCACTGCCATGACATGTGGACCCCACTGCAAGATACATTATTTTTAGGGTCCTTGTGAGGTTAATGTTTTGGTAATTCTTCATAAGCCACAAATATATTAAAGTGAGGCTGTCTCTTTGTGCCAATACTGAAGGAATTCAAGCCCAACACAGACACTCCTGAGACTCCAGCCTGGACACTCACCACGGGATCATCTTGCCACATTTTCTCCTTGGGCTCTTACTGACTAGGAAGCCGATAGCAGGGTCAGTAACCGCATCCCAGGCTCTTCCAAGGAAAAGGATCAAAGAGGCATGGAATGGCTCCAGCTGCGTGGGGGGAAACAGAAACCACAGCTCAAGAGGGAAAAGAAGTCCTGGCAAAAAAGCTGTGAGCAGTCAGCACGATGCAGCTTGCTCTAGTCAATATTTCAGCTGCATCCCCTGGGGACCTCTCTAAGCCTTGAAATGGCCTGGGAACATCTCCTATGTGCCCATCAACAATCCAGTTGTTCCAGTTTTAGCGCCTAATTATGATGAGCATTTCCAAGGGCTTTGGCCACCCATCACACTCCGCTTTTGCTCCAGTCTGCTCAGCTCAGGCTAAGCCCCTTTGCAGATTAACCCCACCTCACGTGGCCACTCACCTGCACGACATCCAGAAGGAAGATTTGGAAGAAAAATCCAAGGGCGTTGCCTGTCATCTGGTAGGGAATGCCCCCAATAGCATAGCAAACCTTTCTGCAGAGCGGCAGTCCTGGCTCCTCCTAGAACCGAGACACCAAGGAACAAGCCAGTCTGAGAAGAGATACAAGCACCCAGCTGGCAGTTAACCTCCAGCCTTCGCTCATCTCATCTGCTAGGTTCTCTGAGACCAATTTAAACCCTGAATCATGTCTCTCCCCTGCCAAGACACACATACCTTTCCTTTGGTCGGACATGACTCCACCTGATTGCCGAAAGCAAGGTGGACGTGGCAGTTGGGGTGCTGTGGGGTGCTCCTCCATCTGCTGGTAAACTTGGTGGATCAGCGTGCCATGAATCTAGCACATAACCTGCCCTCAGGCCTGCAGCCTGGCTGATGAGGTCCTGCCGTGCAGAATTTTGTATTCTTCATAAGCCTTCACGTCATCTTGAAGAACCGCTCCAAGGAGCTGGGCACACTTACAGCCTCTCTCCTCGCTCCAATCTACCAGCACACATTCAGTCCTTGACCACCCACAGCTCCAAGGCGAATGCTGTTCAGTGGGCTTCTGCCTTGTCTGCTCATCTCTGGCAAGTGTTCATTACCAGGGACACATCTCTTGAGTTTCACCTTGATTCTCCTTGGAGGTATGTTTGCATGAGGTCACAGGCCACTAACACAAATGAGATACACATCTCATTCCAAACACAGAGCTATCTGCTGAGTTGTTCTAACATGTTCCTCCTCTGTTGTTGAGCCACAGTCCTGTGGTTCACGTTTTTAGTATTAAAAAGTACAAATTGTATCATGCTTAAAGTGACTGTTACGAAGGCAGTCCAAGCATAGACAGACCGCAAAGGCCAGAATCCAGGGGATTTCTACAGAGCAACAGGGAGAGCACAAGGAACGTTTCAGTGCACAGGAGAAGGGCTGATGGCAAAGCCTCTATTTTAACTGGATATGATTAGTTTAGTAAACCCTATAAAGCCTCAAATATCAGGCAGGTTCCCAGAGGCAAGCTACAGGACTGACATGCTCCCAGCCCCAAAATGAACTTGCTGTCTAGCATGATACACTTCTGCATCATCCAAGAGCAAGAATACACAGTAAAATACAGAATTAAACTACGGAGAACAGAGACGACCAGTTGAGATTCTGATTTTCATTGGCACTTGCCTGAAGAGGGTGCATTGACTTGGCCTGGTAGCCTGGCTCTCCAAAGAGCAGACCATCATTAGAGGCCATTCTGTTGCAATAGGAAGAGCATTGGTGGAGCTGCAGTGCAGAACTAGACACTTGGAGACCAAAGCTTGCCTCCCATCTCACCACTGGCTGCCTTAGTTAACGTACTGGGACTAAGCTGCTCATAAGTGACTCAGGATCCTGGCCTACACCATGTTCCTGCTTTCCCAAGTCACTGAGCAGCTCCATTCCAAAGCAGCCCAGAGAGCTGCAGGCAGGTTGCTGTCCTGCACCCACAGCCCTTTCCAAAAACATGTGGCAAGGCTCCCTCACTCATGCAGTGCTGACGGCCATCCCAAGTGGCAGGCCTTTTCCAGACATGGCTATAAAAGGCTTCAGGCTCCTACAGCAGAAGTTTTGCAGAAGAGCGTAGAGTGATGAGATATGAACATTTGGTACAGAGGTAGCTGTGCAAGAGGTTGAGCAACAGACTGCAGGAGCCCATCAAGAGACAGGGTAGTAGAGAAATGAAGTTAAGGATTGCTTCATTGCCACTTGCCCTCATCTCCCATGGGGTGAAAGGGCAACCTGCAGGTTCCCCAGCCTGTTTGGACTAAAGACAGCTTGCTGTGCTGCTAACGTCACTCAAGCCGACAGCCATCCTTGAGGGAAGACAGACCTTCCTTGTAATGGTACCAGGAAGCAGCCTCCGAAAACACAGGCACAGCCCCAAGGATCAGCCTTCCAGAAGACACCAAATGCCTTTCCCTCACGCAGTGATTAGCTATCACTCCTCCACAGCACACACCACAGAGAAAGCGCTGACGCTGCTGTGCCCGCCAGGCTGAAGAGCCCAGGCTCGGGGCCAGTCCCTCCTCGTAAACGCAGGGGAGAAGAGCGCCGGCATTTCCCTTGCTAGGTAACTTCAGCAGGCCGCTTGTTTCTCTGCCTGTGGTCTCAGTTTACTTTCTGCCTTTTACTGCACACAGAGAGAGGCAGGTCCCTTGTATTTCAAAGCACAGATCAGCCTTGTCCCACAGGGATGGCTGAAGCATTAGGTTTGCACCACCGCTGAGGAGAACTTACTCATGTGACATATTGTTTCCACAGCAGTTCTGTTTCTAATATTGCAAAGACATTTCTCTCGACTGTAGAGTTTTGTGGCAGCTTTTGTTCCCTTTATGCTCTCAGCAGGCAGGACAGAGCTCTGCACGTCTCTGCCCATTTCACTAGAAAGTCAGCAGCAACACGGAAAATGCAGAGCCTTCCTTTAAACAATGTGTTCTCAAGCTTGAGTCATAAACACTTAGAAACACCCCCACAGCCTGTGGCTGTTCGATCCGGTTAGGCTCTGTGTGGGTGTGCGCACTCGCAAGGGTTAGCGTGCACGTGTGAAATGGGTTTGCGTGTGTGAGAAAGATCACTGATCTTACCTTGCTGTGGACCACTCTCCTCTGTGGGAGAGCTTCCTCCTGGGTTAACCTGGGCAGCTCAGCATCTTCGCGACCAGCTGGAAGCATCATTGCAGACACAACGGTGTCCTTCACAGGCACGTGGCAGGGAAGCAGCGGCTTCCTGGCCCAGGGTGCCAAAGAAGTTGTGTTTGTCAAAGAGAGCACCGCAGGCACTGATCAGAGCTAGATGGGGATTTGACGAGAAGACGTAGCATCTCCAAGGCCCCAGGGAGAGCTGACAGAGGAGAAATGACCAGCCCTGAAGGAGGAGCCTGGCCAGACCCTGCCCATGCAGGCAGGAAACCTGGCAGGGCTCACAGCACTGCATGCACTCCAGGGCAGTAGCTCCCAGGCTTTCTGCAGCCAAGTGGAGAAATACAGTGCTCTTCAAACGTCAGACTGGGTCCAGCACTTTATCTCCATCCCAGGGCTGCTGCCACGCTGGGATCCTAGGGGTACAGAGGAGAACACGTTCGCCTGAGCTCTCAACTACCCCAGGAGCACGCTTGAGGCAACCCAGGACTCCTGCCTCAGCACTGACAATCATGAGCTGCAAAGAACAAAAGTGCACAACCCAGAGAGGGCCACGAAGGCAGCTGGAGCAGCCAGGGCGAGGGCAGCAGGGACAAGGAGATGCCTGCTCTGGGTCACTCCCTGGCAAAGCCCCTCTCTCCCCACTGGCTCACAAGGCAGCTCAGGAACACCAGGTGCCCAGCCGTGGCACCCCGCCTGGGGCTCTGGAAAACCCCCTCCCTTTGCTTCGCCCTCTCCTTAATGGGCGCAAGAAGCTGGCACTGACCTAGCGCAGGAAAACGTCACTTAGGATAGGAAGGTGAGGGATATATTTTCCTTTCACTATTAAGCAAGATCAGTAATTATCAACCTCTTTCAGTCCCTGGGCTCCTGAGAGATCTCTCATGGCAATGCAGAGCCCACACACCATGTTTTAGTCTTGTGACAAGAAACTTGCTTTTCTTAGTCACCTTTCACAGACCTTTTATAGCCCATAGATCCCAGCGGTCTTGGTATCACAAATCAAAAATTGCTCCTACATTAACAGCAGTAGGAGCTCAGTTACTCACGGCTGGCTGTGTGGGAATGGTACAGTTCCCAAGGCAGCAGTGCACACAACATGCAGCCAGGCACAGTTAAAAGCACTTGGCAAGCAAATGCAGATGGAGAAATCTGCTTCAGAGTGCAGAAGCACATAGCAAAAGGCTGGCAGAAAAGGGATGTCAGGGCCACTCTTCCCGCTAACCATTTGTTTTGCGCCTCTACTCTAATCACTCAGCTCTTCTCAGATAGGCCTCTCGTAGTCCTACCAAACGCAGTCTCCAAGCCTGAAGTGACACAGAGCAGCCGTACTGAAAACAAGCCTCTCCTCGCTCTCCTCCCAGGTTACCAACAGCTACTGGAAGCATTAAATCCACATTGCTGTCTCTGCGCCACCACCCGCAAAGCTCATCACAACGTTCCTAAGAATGTGTTATCTTCAGCTCAGTCTTGTTCAGTGGGGGTTAATCTAAAAAACCAAATTTCACAGGCTGAGTCAGAACTTAGTTAATAAACCACAGCGCAACTGAGTCAGTGGCATCTCTTTTCACTGCTATTTTACTGACATCTCAGATAACAACTATCAGTCATGCTGGACCACAGCCAGCGCAGTAGGAGCCAAATCTCTGTCTCCCACCAGCACATTTAAGCATACATCTCTATAAGAAAGCAAAATACATCTCTACCTACCCAAGGGGAAAGGGGAAACGCAGAAGAAAACATAAAAATCTGATTTTTAATTTGTATATGCTATTTTGTACCCACTCACTGCATGTAACTACAATGTTTGGACAGATACATGGTACTTTTTGAAACAGTACTCAGCATTTAATCCACTGGCTCTTTGGCACTCATTTACTCTCCAGGTGCAGATAGCTGCATTTTCTGCACATGTAGTAGAAAGCTAACAGATGACCAACAAATACCTCCCAGAGCAGCTGTGCCTATTGCTCCCTGGCTAGTTCAGGGCAATTCTCTTCAACATAGGAAAGCTTTATTTTTCCTCTGCTCAGATTCTCCTAAAACCTTTTGTCACGTTTCTCAGTGCCTTATGCAAGACAGCATTACCCATCAGGTCTAGACAGGATGTCATGATTGCCAGTGCAGCATGGGGAACTCGCAACCTGCCTCTGCGTGACAGCGTGGCTCAGCTTTGTCCCAGAGAGATGGATTTCAGTGAAGAGCACCAATCTCACCCAACTGCTTACCATTAATATACACTGGACTACTTGCTGCAGGCAACGAGCTTTCTAATAATGCTGCGTGCCCAAACCTGAGATCTAACCAGACCAAGTCATCGTACACTGCACACTCCAAGGGTCCCGGAGCAAAAGGACAGTGCCTTTTCCATCTCTACGCTGATCTTGTTCTGTTGGCTGCTTAGAAGCAGGTTTCGAGCAGGGAAAGAAGTCACAGCAACGCTGCAGCTACACCCGTTTTTCTGTTGCACAAATACTCAGCAAAAGGGCCAGCGAAGCCAAATCACTGCAGTTTAAGAAACAAGGTCACGTTGGAAATTACTCACTGCCAAAAAAAGGTCCCTTCCCCAGAATCCCGCTCTCCACTGCGGGAACACTAGATCTTATCTCTCAAGGCAGCCCAAGGCCCAGGAATGCATGATTCAAACAATTCCAATCCAAGCTGTGCTAATTAAACAGCTTTTCTCAGGGTACTATGACCTAGAGAGGGGCCATTCAGGCAAGGGAGCCCCACTGAGAAAAATGTCTAAAGCCCACAGACTGGAATTTTTTGGCACCAAACTCAGTGGCAGCATTTGGATACGTTCCACTAGCAAGTCCCCTGAAGGTTTACCACTCCTTGACCGCTCTAAGCATGGCCAGCAGCTCTCATTTTCCCCTTACCACAGCTGCCTTCTCTTGGTGGAACAGGAGCGATGACTAGGCTAGCTATTATGACAGATGAGAAGGGGGAGGAAGGGCAGTTGCTGCTGTAGGCCCCTGTAGCCCGTAAAGAGTTAATCTAATGGAGAGTCATGAAATGTACCTGAGTAAATAAGAACATCTGGAATCTATTCAGGAACTCCCAGCGCTGGGACGGACAGGTTCAGCGCAGACAAGACAGAACAGCAAATAAGATAAGCATTTAGGAATGTAGCAAGTAAGTCAGAAAATGATAAATTAGTAAATTGAGAGGTGCTTGACACAGGAGCTGTTCAGCTGCCAAAGAGGTAGGTATATTGCATAATCAGTAGTATACAACTGGCTGTAGAAGTGTGTAATTGGGAAATATGGGATTCATTTGGAAAAACTTCTGCTAACAAGTATTTAGAAAGGATTTCTCCTCCTATTTCTGTTTACTACCTTGGTTTAGATACAGCGTACATTTGCTTACTTGTTCAATCAGTATTGCTGAAGGAGCCTAGTTTGCACTTTGGAAGCAGCAACTACATACATAAGTCCCTAAGCAGCTTTTAGTGAAACTCATTCCAACTCCCAGAGTCATTATGCCTGCTATGTACATTCATGCCATGTGGTATAGCATATGCATTATTTACCAGAGCAAGAACAAGACCTGCGGAAGAATCCTCAGCAAAAGCCAACTAGCTTTAAGCTTTTCTTCTTTCTAAAATAAACTGAAACCACCTAAAACAAACCAAAAAGCTGGTAGGGAGATCATACCTCATTAATGAGGACTGCAGATGAGAAGACCCAGCTCTATATCATTCAGCAAATGAGCTCGTGCAATGGCTAATTCCCTTCTCACCAAGCACAGCACTGGTGCATGCGTTTGTTACCAAACAAACGGGAGGACAGGTACAGAAGTGCACAGTTCCGAGAAATCTGGTTCGAGTCTCGGCGCGTGAGAGGAGTTGAAAGGCTTTTCATTCATCAGGGTTGCTGCTTGGTCGCCAGGAAACTGCACCTGGCAACAGGCACTGCTGAGAACCGAGGACTCCTGCTTCCCAGCTTTGCCTCGAATGACTTTCCATCAGACTTCCTTGGGTGATGCCAAGCGTTTAGGATAAAAGCACCAATGGAAAACCACAACCTGGTAGGAAAAACAACTTTGTTGCTTAATTAAACGTGTCATTTAAAACTACCAACCTCCATTTATAAACATTCTGGTTCACCAACAGAAACAAGACCATTTAGAAACTGCAAGGGGGTAGCACTGTCTTGCTTTCAGGCTGTAGCATTTCTTCATACAGGCCCATACAGAACAACAAACTCCTAACAGATGCGAGCCCTCGTCCAAGGATTCAGTGTAGGTACCATAGGTCCTCCCCTCACAGTGAGGGAGGCTCTGAAGAAAACCATAAGCATCTTGTGTTTCGTGCCTATGACACCAATCCCTCAAGCCAGCTTTCCTCTGTAACTACAGAGTCAAGAGAGACATCGACTCAAGGTCCTTTACCGTGATGAGAAAGGACAAAGGGTCTGTAAAACACTGCTGCTTTCAAAAGAAAACACTCTTGAGTAACTGACGGAACTTCAGAAGAGCATCCCAGGAGTGGACTGACATCCTTTTAGTCATTCCTCTAACTAAATGCATCAGGGAAGCTGAAGGCCCACCCAAGAATAAGCCGCAGCATGAAGGTCACTTTCTAGTTCTTGAATGATTTATTGTCGTCCAGCGCTAAGAAGCAAAGACCAAGTCCAATACGACTGATTACAACCAAAGGCAACAAAAACATCCACCTGTTATTTTATAAACAATCAAAAAAAAAAGAGGAAGAATTAGGCCAAAATTAACAGTCATCCCCTCCTAGCTGCAGGTGTGCCCACTGAGATTACTTGTTCTCTATTGTCACGGCTTCACGTGCCAGCTGAACTAGCCGAGTTCTGTGCCAGAGCAAGGCAACCAGCTCGCTGCTCTCTGCCGTTAACCTTGTTTGACCCAAACAGAGTAGGATGCACGCGTGCATGTGGGGGGTGTTACATGAGCAGCTCTGGTGGCAAACAGGAGGAAGGACAAGCAGCTGAAGGCATAGCTATACCTGGAAAGGGAGGTACCCCCAGAGGTAGGCAGACCGCTGACTCCGCGGAAGATATTGAACCAGGAAACAACCACTGGCAAAAGCAGCATTACAGATGGGAGGAAAATTTTGCAGGAAACGGGTGCAAGCCAGCCTTTTGTGAGGAGACGCTATCAGAAAACACAGGAGATAAATTTTAGCAAGGAGGACCCATGAAAAGGAAGAGGAGAAAACAATGAACTACATATGAAGGAAAGAAATCTGAACAAATCTGATCTACAAAGTAGCAGTTTGAGAAAAGGAAAACTGTTGCAAGCACAGTATTCAAAGAAAAACACTCAGATGCAGTGAAAGACATCAGTCACAGACAAAACAGCACAGTAGTAAAACTGTGAGCTGTATCTTGGCACACAGAAACGTAAAAGAACCAAGTTTTTGCATGAGACATCAAGCACTGCCATAACACCAGAGTGTATGAAACAACAGAAGGACAGGCAGAACTCCACTGTAAAGAGAATGATCAAAAAAGAAAAATTCCAAAGAAAAAGTTTTCCAGGCACAGAAGGGGGAAAAGGCACTTCTCTGTAGGCTGAACAGAGTGTACGTGTCCGTTTTACAAGAGCCCAATCCCAGACTACGACTGTTAGAACAAAGAAAATGATTTTTAAAAAGGAGATTTTCCTGGAGCGAAAGCCAAATAAACTCACTAACAATAATCACAAACTACAGGAGAGTCTGAAATGCGCCTTTACCTTCCTGCAGGGGCAAGTTAGAAAGAAAAATCCAAGAGCGGCACAACTGACAAGTGGGGCTGCTCACACCCTTTATAAAAGCTACACGTCTCTTTCCACCTCCTCCTCTTGCACGTCCTGGTGTATTATTCCTTCCCTATTAGTAAGTCTAGGTGGGTTTTTTGCTTTACAGTTTATTTTGTATTGAAGGAGACAAACTTAATACAGCAGATTCCATGCATATTAATTTCAGTTAGTGCTACAGTTAGGCTCTTTTGTCAGCTTTGGAAGAAGATATGCCTATCTTGGTTACTGATACCACTTCAGTGCTTCACTCAGGCAAACCTCAGATAGCCTGGCAGCGGGACGGAGCTGATCTTGCTCACCAGGAGATAAGGACTTCTCATTACTTACAAAAACAAAAAACAAGGGAGGAATCAGAGGAAGAAGGGATCAGCAGCAGCATCCCAGCCGGCTCACAAACACACAGGAGCACAAGGTGCAGCTCCCTGCAGACTGCTCGGGGCTTGCTGCAGGTTTCGCAGCAGGAACCTCCCAGGGAAGAACGGCTTCTCTGCAGCACTGCCACCCTCCGGCTTAGGGGGTAAAATTCACTTTTCATGGCAGAGAAACAGCTCAGCACCAGGAGCCCTTCTAAAGTTACCACCTTTCCATCCCGCTCCCAAGGAGCGATCTGACAGAAAACCTGGCTGTGAAACTTCCTATCATTGAGCAGCATCCGTGCAACAAAATCCTCCGTGGACCTGTTGACTGTCTAGCTGCCAATTCCCATTTAATTTGGGAGCACTCATGCAGCCAGCTCATCCAGCCAAAGATCATGAATGCCAGCTAGCCACCTCCTGTCCTCCGATACAACCACCTAACCAAGACAGAAACAAGAGACAAAGGATTTCTTATCTGTTACATAAGCTTTTTTTCTGGCTTTAGGGCCTCATCCTGTCCACCACTCTGGAAGATGTTATCCCAGGCCCCCAAAATGGCATGTGTGGAGAGGAAGGTCAGGAAACAAGGATGCAAGGACTCCTTTGATGAGCAAATTTAAAATAAGTGTCCTCCCATAAGGCAGTTGTGACTATTCTTAGCTTTGAGAGAAATTCCCTTTCTGGATTCTCTGCGTACTGGTTCACACGGACAACTCAGTAGTCTTAAGATACAGCATCAAATGATGCAGGCAAAAACAAGTTCACCCATGAGATGAGATCTTTAAAAATGCTGCCAAGTTTTTTAATCTCATTTAGCCGAAGGCAGTTAACCATTGGGAAGCCTGCTAGCAGCACACCCCAAAGCAGTAAGAATAGACGTCGGCATACACATCACCGAAAATACAGTATTAGATGGCAGCCGTTATTAGAAAAGATCAAACACCATGTTCCTATTTTGTGGGTTTTTAATGATTGTTTCACAATAATTTACAAATTTGCTGTTACGCACATTATATATCCAGTTAGTAATGAAAAATGTGAGTTAATTCAACTCTGAGTAGAGAAACTGCTATAAAAAATGCCCTTGCTTAGGTCTGGTATTTACTCCCGCACTTTTGTATTAATACATCCAGCCCAGTGAGTTTCTCATGCTGAACCTGTCCAACCTGCCGGCCCTCCCCCAGACTACACGTACCTAGAGTTTGTTCTCTGCTCATACCAAGATGAGGATCTAAAAAATTCAGAGCACGGAGGGAGGTGGACTTACAGTGCGCTAGCCCCAGGGCTCTAGGATGACTAAGACAGGAAACAGAGTGCACGCTCTAACACTTTGCATAGCCACAGTCCAGCTTCTTTCAGAGACATACTGCTGGTCTTCATGCAGCTCCTATTTAGCTGATGTCTGGAAGTCTACAGTTCAGCACAGCTCTGAAGTTCTGCTCTGAAGCCCAGGGCTGGACTAGCAAGCACGCTGCAGGTTGGTGCAAAGTGCCGCGGCACAACGCTAGGTGGCAACTTGCATGCGCTACGCTGTGCCTGAACCAAGCCAGTGCCATGAGTCCCTCATGTCTAGGAGCAATGAATTTACCCACAGGATTCTGTTCAAAGGAACGATGAAGAAACGGAGACCTGAGCCCAAAATATAAACAGTGGAACAGACCAAGGTTGCAGAATTCCAGGTGTCCAGCTATGTCAGTACCCAGCAGAGGAGAGGAAATAAACCCAAGGGTACTACAGCCTTGAGTTTTTCACCTGAGCTGTTCCCACCATCTTGGTAATTCATCTTTTAAAATAAAACCTCTCTGCTTTCCAGTAAGATACACTGTTTGCCTTTTACTTTCAGTCACTTCACACTGATTCAGCTATGTGCCTTCTTGGAGAGAACAAGAGGCAGCAGCAAATTGTGTTTCTCAAAGAAATGCAATACAGCAGGTTAAAACTGCAAACAGTCCATCTGGAGAAAGTGCAGAGTAGGTGGATACTGCAATGAAGCCCATACAAGTTCAGTTAAGGGAAGGAGAGTCAAAACTTTCTCTCCAGAAAAGGCCAAAGAGAGTGTTAAATCTTGCACCTGCACATACACATGCAAGCTTTCCCCACACTCTAAACAGCAGCTGTTTCACAAAGATTTCCCCTGCAATGCACTTACAGTGGTGTCATCATTATCTTGGCAATCAGACCACCTATCCTGGTGTAGTTTATATTTAACGTGTGAAAATAAAGAGGGTATTTTGCAGCAGTCCTTGTCGAAGAGGGAAGAGTAATAGATTGCTATAAGCAGTTAACTGGCATGGACGGAAACTGCTCTCTAGGATTTCCCTTCCTCTTTATCTTCCTCCCCTCTAAAGAGTGCAGTAATGCAATCCACAAAGGTAACTAAACTCCCGTGGGAGAATTTGTGGCACAACAGGCTGCAGCTCCTTTCGAAACTGGTTCATTTTGTTTATTTATTTTAAAGTCCACTGATCATCACAAAAAAAAAAAACATGGGAAATGCAACTAAAGAAAAAAAAGTCCAACCAAGACCTAAGAACCCAGTGCTACGAGCAGATGTGAGCCTGTGCTGCACGGTGCAGGTGCACACACAGGACGAGACGACACATGCGCACTGCAGGCAGGCGTGTGGCGAGAGATGGGTTCCTTTATATTAACCGCTGAACAATGACAGCATTGAGCAGGTTGGCTTCCTTCAGGGTTTGGTTCTCATCAGTCAGCTCTTTATTTGGGAAGGTGGTCATGAGGATGAAACTGGTGGCAGCCATTGCTGGCCGGGCATCTACTATGAAGAGCCGGATGTCACGGATCCTGTCCAAAGGGATCAAACACACAAGGGTGATGCTGTTATTTCACACCCTGTAGAAGTGCATGGCAACAGCCTAAATTCACCCTTCCCAGAGCATGCAACCCTAAAGTCACTGTACTTGCTTCCCAACCAACAGCTGAGGCCACCGCCAGACAAATCTACAATTTCACCTACTCCTCCATGGGCTCCTGTTCAGTGAAATAACACAGACTGCTTTACTAGTTTAAGGATTTTCAACTTAGTTTTTTTCCCGTTAAATATTCTTTTCGTTATCCAACTTGAACGTCTGTGATGTCAGGCAACTATTTGAAATGCTTCAGAACCCTTCAAGACGAACAGATTAACAAACAGGTTTCGGGAGTGTCGCTTGACACACACCTGTTTTAAGTTAATGCTTATCACACACAGCATAACCTAAATGATCTCAACCCCCAAGAGCAGCTGCAGCAGTGACATTGGATCATTTCCTGCACCTGAGCCTGGAAGAGGGTTTCTGTAACTCTTTGCAGCAAGCTTTATTCTCCTATAGAAACTGGAGGACGGTCAGGCTCTCCAAAATCAGCTCGATGAGAAGACCTTCGGGACAGAAGTCTAACAAAGCAATGGACTACACAGCCAGCTTTGCGCAGCCAAGGGAACCGAACTGTTTTAAGAGCACCTCTTTGCGCTCCAATCAGTGCGGGGAATAGCCCAGTAGAAAAGATTCGACTGAACGTCAGAATAACTGAACCAAGTTCCTAATCACCTAACAGCTTCTATAGCTCTTAGCTCTACAGCTATAGTTTCAGTTTGCTATAGTTGAAAGGAAACTGATAATACTGACGCTCCCAGATACAGTTATCACCAGCTATAATCCATCACTATCTGGAAAGCAAATCCTATCCTTCTAACAGTTAAGGACTGCCTCAAAACCCCACAATAAGTTTATTCCTATTCACCTATACAGAAGGATCCCCAGAGCTCCCTTTAGCAGGCTAGCCAGGATTTTAACATCTGCTCCAGCTGTGCACAGTTCGCAGTGTCATTCAGGCCTTCCCAGTTAGTAACCTGTGTTTCCTGTTGCCTTTGTACCTGTGATTGTGGTTAAATTTCTGGACCAGTCGCCCGCCGTCAGCGAGCCGGATTTGAATGTTGGTGATGGGCTCCGACTCATCAATGCTGATGGCAGAACTGGCTTTGGCTTCATTCTCTGCCTGCTGGGCTGGTGAGCTGGTGCCCATCACCTGGGGGACAGTGCTGAGAACAGAAAGACACAAGGCAAGCTGTTATAAACCAAATGAATCACCAGGCTGCAAGGTGCCAGGAGTCAGGCATATGAGCTTATTGCCTACTGTGCCTGACTACCACGGTTCCTAGTCGAGAGACACCATTTCAAGTTGGAAAGGTGCAAGAACAAGATTTCAGGAACGAGCTAGTAAGGTCACAGGTCAGCAGGCACCTGTCCATCATTTCAGCTTTACCATCTCCCATTAGAGTACCACATCATGGGTCTTCACACACCCACAGGAACAGGGTCTTATGTCTACGAAACACTCCTTCTACATGACCTAATGTGATGGTTTCAAACTGGGAGATCTGCCTCCTGCCATTAAAAGGCTGAGCCATCCCACAGTACACAACAGTAACCCCATTTTCTCTCTCTGAGGAACACCTCACACACCACAGGCACTAAGTACCTTCTCTTCAGAAAGATGAGTCAATAGGCTCATCCCACCAAAACTCTCAAGTGACTGTCGTACACCACTGAAACACCAATCCAGTGCTGCTGCCTTCTCACCTGCCCAGCTTCTGTCCTTCTCCAGTAAAAGCTTTGAAGACACTTTTAGGTTTCACATAATCCTCATCACGGTGATCTTCCATATCCAGGTTCACTTGCCCACCCCGTGCTAACCTGCGCAGCTCTGCCGGGACTTCCCTGCAAAGAGAGAGTATTCTAAGGAATCTGCCTGAAGAAGAAACAAGTCTAGAGAGCGTAAAGAAGAAGTGCCAACCACAGGATCTGGTGCAACCACAGACCTCTGGACTTTCAGGAATCACAGTATATTCTTGCTTAATTAACAAGGTAGACATGCATCTCCCCATTGACAGACACAAATTAAAGGTTACTTTTCCCAGGCTTTAGCCTAGCCGAACATGCCTTTTTGCGATGCATCAGAAAACGTCACCCCACATACGAAAGTCTGTTTGCTCATTTCGAACGCTCAAGGCCCCATACAAACCAGGGCTCCTCCCCATTTAACTAAAGTAAACGCTCAAGTTTCCCCCCCCGCCAGTTTCCATATTAAGAATCCAGCCCTCTTAAGAAAGGGAAAGTGAAATATGCTACTGGTTCAGCACCCTAGGTTCCACAAACGCTTGCATTCTACAATACAGCCTGTTCTTTCTCTCCCCTCTTACCCTCTGCGGATATCATCAAGAAACTGGGCATTGGACGGATCTTGGTAGCTCCTCAGTTCTCCACTGTCCAGACTGAATCCGCTCTTCCACAGCTTCAGTACAACATGCACCTGCAATTGCCCCAAAACAATCAGCCCCACTGAAGCATCTCAGTAAGAACAATAACCGGAAGCAAAGTGAAAAGCTGCCGACCAGCAGAGCGGTTTCAAGCTGCCGACAATGTTCCAGCAAGGTTCCTCTGGGCTGGTATGATCAACAAGGGGTGGGGGGGGGAACCCACAAAACAGGCATTGACTAGGCAACGGTCTCTCATCAACTCCTACAAGGTGACATCACAGATAGCACCACTGTCCCCTTTTTGATAAATGCCGCTAAAGAGTCAAAAGTGCGTTACGCAAGGAACCTAAGCCAAGCTCCCACCAAGGTCAAGGTGGACGTGCGCTCACAAGCCAAGCAAGAAAGCATCTGGTGCTGTAAGCTCCATGAGTCTTCAACAGCTAAAGACACTACTGCCCAGTGCTCTTTGCACACTAGTTGCATGATCAATATATTCACGCTGCAGAGGCTGAGAAAAGATTCCGGCACTTCTAAGGAACACCCAGGTTCTCAATTAGAAGTTCATCAGAAAACTGCTTACTTAAGACCCAAGCACCTATTATTTCCTCATCAGAAATCCTACAGGAAGCGAGATGCATTTATTAGGCTTTATAATTCTCTGTGCTCTCAAGCTTTGCAGCTATAGGACAGGAATCCCTCAGGTGACATCTACCAAACAGAATAGAGAGATACTCACATCCTGAGCAGAGTTCTGTCTCCTCTCCCCTGCCACATAGGCAGACTCCTCCTCTGGAGTAGCCCCAAGGCGATACCCTCCCCCTGCAAACGGCTGTAAGAGAAAGAGAGAAAGGCAGGCAGAGAGATTATAGAACGACACACACCCAGGAACAGCTTAATTCCCTTTCCTCAATACCACTCTGAATAAACGAAGACTTCATAGCACCAGCAACATATATCATCCCAGAGACACAATGACCAGCTTGAACTAGTTGAGAGAGCGAAGTGGCTTTTCTTGCCACCTCAACGCATCAGCTAGAGCTGCACTAACAGAGGAGACCAGACTCTGCTGTTTTAAGAAAATTCCAGGGCTCAGCAGCACTGCAGAGCTGTCATGGTGGCGATGATGAGCAGATTCCAGCAGCAGAGAACAGCTGAAACGGGGAAAGGAAGGAAGAACTCATCGCTCCTCACTTTAGGCTTGCTAGTCTCGCCACCGCTCTTGGCTGTCCGGTCCACCGCTACTGCTCCATGCTCCTTTGCTCCTTTGAACAGATCTTCCACCAGCTCATTGGGACTCTTCTTCCTTGGAGGGCCAACAATCTGCTGTCCGCTTCTCTCTGAGCCTCCAGCATAAAACCTAGACAGAAAGCACACATCATCTGGGTAAGATTGCAGTTCCTTCACATGGACCTGTTCTTCTCCAGGATACGTATGTGAGAGGACCCAGCAGTTTTATACCAGGATTTAGTTGTTCATTTTTGCAGAGATTAATTAAGCAGCTTACCTGCACAAATATTAGCTATTACAAGTATATCTTCTCCTGCAGCCCCTTAGAGCAGTTGGTAATTACAGAATTTAGGGAACAGCCCCAGCAGATCAGGAATTTGTAAAGTTATCCACTGATCAGTGATAATGAAGTAACCCCAGGCCAAGAACTCTCTCAGGCCTAGCAAGAGAGAGTCTAGACTGACAGAGTTCAGTTTCAAATTCTAGTACCAGCTGTATTGCTCACTCCTAACATGAATTTCAGCAGATACCTTCTATCAGATACCTTCTTCAGCTCTTCCCTAAGATGGAAGAATATAGGCCACATCCAAATGGTATTTTGAGGGAAGGCGCACATTCATTCTACGCTTCAAGAACACCACATACAGGAATGATCTGAACTAGAAGCAATAAATCCGCAGTCAAGGCAGTGCAATTAAACCCAGTCTTTTTCCAGGAGCGCTTATTATTTTCCATTTGGCTTGTAACACACACCGAGCAAGCTCGCACGTGGTTGCAGAGGACCGTGCAGCCTACCTGTCTCAGCCACCTTAAGGTGTATCAGCTCCATTCAATTTACTTTGCATGTTAACCTTAAGTGCATTTAACTACTTACAGCTGACACTGTAGAAAACTTTCCCACCAATTTGCATTAAAGGGAAAAACTCTGTTGAAAAGGGGACCTATGTTTTCCCTTTCCATCTTTAGTCATTACATTCCCCTTAAATTGCACTTCAAAGGAAAACAAAGCAAGAAGAACAAACAATTCCTGTAATATTCCTACATTTGCAATCTCTACAGACACAAATGTTGCCCGTGCCCTTTTTCTATTCTTAATCTACGGCTTCCACATTCTACCACAGACTTTTTCCTCTCTCTGCACAATTCAGTGATGAAAACTGGTGTTCATACAGAAGTGCTGAGCACGTGCTTGCACACAGACATTCACTGACCAACCTTTCTGTGTTAAACCTGAGATTTTCCAGTACAGGAGTTTCACATCAATTTAAACACACTTTTTAAAAGAATCTGTATACAAGTGGCAAACTATTGCATGAGGGCAGAGACAAAACCACAGGTTTCAAGTCTTTAGCTGAAAACTTACCGCTGTCCCTCTTCCTCTTCATCATCATCCTCCTGTGCGTGAACAAGGTCTCTGAACGATGTTACCCGATGGTCACTGCAAATCAAAGTCAAAGTACGTCAGCCTCAGGACTCGTTTCAACCACACAAGCAAAGCAAAAGCTCCTGAACATACGTAGCATGTTAGTTTGACACTTTCCTACATTTACGGTCTGATTCATTACTCTATGAAATCATAGCTCAGCACTGGGGTAACTGAGCAGTGAACCAAGTTCTTGGACATCTGTTCCAATTATATCAATAAAAAGGAAGAGCGGGTGCACTGGAGGAGACTCAGAAGGTGGTTGCAAACATAGCAAAATCAGCAAATCTCCAGTCATCTTCCCTGTCAGTGTACTGGATTTTGTTGCCTTTTTCAGAGAACAACCATTATCGAAGCTACACAAACTCTGGTTACCTTCCAGGCACCAGGCAAGTCCAGCCTCCACATCTGTTCACTCCTGTTATTTCTGCTGAGGCTGTTACCTGCGATCCAAACTGAGATAGGGGATGTTTTTGCAATATGGAATTGATTCAACAAAGTCTGAACCAAGACCACTTTTCCACATAGATCCTCCAACACACAGCCAATAACCCTCTTCCCCATACTGTTTCTCTATAAAACGGGATAGCACTTCCCCGCTGCACAGGGATTTGGTAAGGCCAAATAAACTTCTTTTTGTAAAATGCTTGACTTGATCAGATAAAGTGTCACACAAAATAACAAAATATCTTTCCTGTGGAGGAAAAACCTGCTTAAATGAAAGGGTTACCTACCAAAACTGAAATGGTTACCTACTGATTGTTTTCCAGCCTCAAAACAGAAATCAAGTTTTTCCTGAGCAATGAGGCAAGTTAACCTAACTGATCATTGGATGAGTTGCGCAACAACATCAGAGCCTGAGACGTATAAACGCTGATGCTTTCACAATTGCTCAAGAGCCATATAAGGGTAAAGCAGATCAAAATGCAAAGATGTTTCTTCTGATAAATATCATACAATCAATGCTTTAGATAGAGCATGCTTCAGATTACTTTTAAGAAAGTAATTTCCACTCTCAGTTTTATGAGCCCTTGACGAGCAAATCAATACGAGCTGACACTCTCGCCACACCTGGGTGCAGTGCCTCTGGATATAGAGCTGGGTGTTGGCTGAGGAAGAGTCAGGATGTCATCATCACCCCCGTCCTCATAGAAACTGGCAAGGGCAATCTGAAAAGAGACACCACAGCATCTTTTCAGGATGAGAGGAAGCACTCCACAAAAAATAAAAAAACAAGCAAACACTAATAACGTAACTAAAGTTTTATTACATTAGAGCTCCTGAACCACACCAACACTAGAGATATTTTACATGATTTCCCCTCTCAGAAATCCTAGCAGAGAGAAGCACCTAAGGCCAGTTTACAGTGCTTGGCCTTGTTACATCAGGACGTTTCCCACAGTATTTATTCCAGAACGACCTTCCTGAGCACAGGCCCTTATACCACCCTGCTTCTGCGGGGGTTACACCAAAATTCTTGTTCTGAAACAGCTGCTTCTGTGACACCCAAGGGCAGAGGCCTGAAATTAAACAAATAGGCCCAGAACAATCAACGGCAATACCGACACAACGGCTGGCCACCGCCGGCTTTCAGGGAAAAACCTACATAAATCCGGCAAAACACCCAGCACTCCGAATTCCGTGCCCCGCACTGGAAATTTAAGCGGTTTCAAAGGGACGAGGCGAGCAGGGCGGGTTTCAGCCCAAACCAACGCGGCGGCCGGCCCCGACCCTCGCAGCCCGGCGACAGGCCGCGGGGCAGAGCGCGCCGC